GGCGCTCACCACCCCCCCCCCCCCCCCTCTTTTTATTTTTAATAATTTAGAACTGTTTCAAAAAACAAAATAGTTGGAACTTTCTATGATGATCCGTTTACAATTAAAAAATAATAAATTACATATGAATTTTTATTCTCGCGTATAATATTTATATACAATGTTTAAAGTTACATTTAAAATAATTTAAAATTTTTAATATTACATCACATACATGCAAAATAATATTAAAAAAATTTCTCATTGATAATCAGTAAAAAATTTACATCTTATTTAATTTATGAGCATATACCCCAACAGATCCATTATTTGGTTTTCTTGTTTATGGAGATCTTGACAAATTAGAATTATCATGCAATATTGGTCTTGTGTTGACATTTGATCCTTTGGATGTTTTGCATTTAATTTCCTTCGATTACTTAAGTGAGCATGATTGTGTTTTGAGTACAAATAATTTGAAATTAGTTGACTAAGGGATTACTTAATCGCAACGAAATTTATAATCAACGAAATTATAATTTACGGTAATCTTATTTATCAAAATTAAAAATTCAAGGTCCAAATTGTCAAAAACTGATAATTCAAGTTGCACCAGTACAATTAACCAACATTTAACGTTAATAAAAAGAACTAATTTTTTTCTTTGTTTGGTTACAGATGAAGCCGAGTTCAGAAGTACTGAGTAACTCAGTAAGGGAAGCAAATGATAATAACCAACACAAGCCCTATTGAATTATATTCAGGTTGGCTTAAGAATGGAGAATGGAAGGAACAATTCCCATCTTGCGTACAAAAACATATGATAACAAACGCAACAATGGCCACACTTTAAATCACTATACTAATATCACATTAGGCCGTAATCACAGCATTGATCAGTTCATTCCTCCCGCCGATCGTGAGGTATGTACAGTAAAATCTCTATAAAATGATATTGTTGGGATTAAGAAAAAAATATTATTTTAGCAAGGTTATTAATTTATTGATAAATTAATATTTAATTAATTTAACAAGAGTTTTATATTTTAACAATTTGTGTTATCTTGATACATGTATTATTCTTTTGACTAAGATTCATGTATGAGTTATAAAAAAAAAAAATAGATGTAATCAAAATTAATATGTTTTATCATGTATATAATAAATGTTATAAATATATGTACAAAGAAGTCCAAAAAATAATGTAAGTACGTTGTCCATAGAATGTTAATAACTACATATATGAACATGAAATTGATGTACATATTTTTCAAGTTTAATACCTAGAAGAAAAAAAAAACTCCTTAGTAGGATGATTTTTATATGTTATTTATTATTATTTTTGTATTTTATTAATTATTAATTTATATTTTTATTGGGCCCAAAGGAGTTGAAATAAATTATTATCTGCGGGAATATTAATTACCATTTCCTTCACTCTCTTTTTTTTTTTTGTTTTTTTTTTTTGGCGCCTAAATTAGTATGCCCATGTTGGTTTGGATAGCACTGGACCATACTATGAAGCCGAAGCACAAATCAACATATGGAACCCCTTAACATTTTGTCGAGAGTGCAGTTTTGCTCAATTTTGGATTGCTGGTCCAAACACTGATAATTTAAGCACCGTTGAAGCTGGGTGACTGGTAAAAGTTGTGTAGCTAAAATGCATATTTATACATAATTTTGGCATATATGAATTATTGGTCGACGGCTAAACAATAATATTTGTGATTATTTAGGTTTGTGCACGAGATAGACAGACCAAATTCTAAATATACTGGACAGTAATTCCTAATATAAAATTGTCTAATATCTCTAAGCTTTACTTGTAATTGACTTTAATAAGATGACTCAATAATAATGATGTGTATTTTTTGTTGTTTGAAAGGCTGATGGCTACAAAAGAACAGGTTGCTACAACCTTGACTGCCTGGGTTTTGTACAAGTTAGCCGTCATTTTGTCGTTGGTCATTACTTTCAAGGATGTTTCCATCTACAATAGCCGTCACTACGACGTAAAAGTCACTGTACTCAGGGTAATAAGAACATTTTATTTGTCCCAAAAGGATTCTCATGTCATGCTGATGTATCGTAATTTATAAAGACAAACACTAGTTTTAGAAAAATACTTAGAGATACTCTGATGTTAAACATCACAATTGTTATTGAAAGTGGGTCCCACTTGTGGATCCCTTACTGCGGAACTCAATTTTTATTAGTGGGCAATACTGAACACCACCGGTACTCTATAACATTGTCTCTTATTTTTAACTTTTTTATTATTATTATTTTGAAAAACATGAGCCTACTTAAGAAGAGTAGAGCAAGTGTTGGGTGAGAATCAAGTTACATACCAAAGTAGTGTAGCTCAGCTAACTATCTTCTTATAGTAATAATTATTTTTCTCCAAAAATTTAATAGGTACAGAGAATAGGATAGATCCGATTAGAGAAAAATTAGATTGATCATGGATGAGACATTTATGTTAGCGTATCATATATGTTGTGCTTTGAGTAGTTTGATTAACACGTACAGGGTGCCTATTTCAATTACAGGACCCAAATCATGGAAATTGGTGGATGAAATTTGAGGATGAATTTATAGGATATTGGCCTCCCAATATTTTCACAAATATGGCTGCAAGTGCTGAGGTGATAACATAGGGGTGGAGAAATTGTGAACACTCAAATGAGCACACATCGACTCAAATGGGTAGTGGCCATTTTCCTGAAGATGGTTATGGAAAAGCTGCTTTTATGCGCAACATCGGATACTTCGACAGCGACATGAACTTAAGAGGGCCTGAGAATCTTTTAACTGTCGCAACTAAACCTGGATGCCATGATGTACATGTCAAACCCAGTTCACCCGACTTTGGATACCATTTCTCTTTTGGTGGTCCGGTGTGTTCCGCCTATTCTAATCTTTGTAAGCATGAAAAATGCCTTGACCCGTCAATTATGTTTGGAATAAATCTAAAAGATTATGATTTTTAGAGTTCACGATCATATAGATTGTCGCTTGAAAATAGTGAATTTTGGTTTGTTAAATAATTGTTATGTTATGTTCAAATATCAACGTTATGTAAACAATAAGTTGGATCAACTGTACTCACTGGGGCTAGCCAATGGTGAGTGGGTGGGGGTCGGGATCTCTAGGTCGAACCTGGGGACCTAACAACTTGTGTGGGTGCGAGGTGTGGCCAAGGGGGCATTTCAAGCAAAAAAACGAAAATAAAAAAGTTGGATAAACTGTAGCAGCACCTCAATATATCATAAGATATTAATCAAACCTGCATTTTGTACTTTTCTTTATACTTCTTTCTCTCTCCTTCAGAATTCGGCCTCTGTACATCAGTAACTCATGTCAAAATTATTAGGTCGTGCCTTGTAATCCCTACCCTTACACACACACATATACGTGCGTATATATCAAACAGTCTAGAAGAAAGCAAAATATGCTAAAGGAACTCCACATCGTCTTCTTGATGTTCCAAAACTATAGTGGCAAGAGCAAGCCTGTATGTAGTAGATCGCAGATTCCTGACAAGAACATAAATCTCTTTCCGCCTTCGCTTCGCAGGCAAATCACTCCATTGCTCTTCCCTGAGATGAGCAAGCAAGACTGCCTCACAGAACGCCTCCGCCATCAGCTTCTTGCTGCGCATAAAGTCGAATTTCCACAAAGCAAAGACCATAAGTAGTAAATAAATGGAAGAATAAAAGCAAAGGATCACAGTTGTATTTGACAACAGGAATCATGTACTCACCTCCCTCTGACAAATCCTGTTGTGACAAAGCCTATTGGCAACCGATGAGATTCACTCACAGTATTGTACTCTGGTATCTGGAGTTCCCACTTACCAGAAGACTGCTCTTTAAAGTATGATGTTACAGCAGACTGGGAAAGTTGAAGTTGAAGTCGTCTTTCAATGTTCTCTGGACTGAAACATACATAACATTGATATATATCAACGGCAGCAAATTTACGTATATCTGGTATATGATTCTCTGAATCACTAATTAGAAGAATCATATTCATCAAAGTTCAATTTCCACATTGAAATAAAAAACAAGCAACTAACTATTTCACTAAGGAAAAAAAAAAAAAAAAAGAAGCTTAAAAAACTACCTACCTCGAAGTCCACAATGTTATATCAGTGAGACGAGGTGCACAAACAACTGCTCCATCATCAAAAGAGCCTTCCTTGTAAGCACGAAGAAGAACCCTTAGGAAACATAGTTTATTGTTGTAGACAATATTAGAGAACCCAATTTTGGCCTGCCCAAGCTTGCTTTCATCCTTCGCAAGTTTAGAAAAACATGTCTTTCTTACTACTTGAGGAAATAGGAGTAAATGATTGCATTTGATTTCATTCAAGAAATTAGTCAATGAAGAAGATGTCCTTGCTACAAAAACATTTGAACTATCATGACCAAGAAGTAATCTATCATCACAACATGCATGCTCAGAATCCCCTATTAAATTGCCACTGTCCTGTGATTGTTCCCTACAAATTTTAGGATCTTCAACTATTTTGAGAACTCTTTTTAAAGTAAACCAGACACTATCCCATGGTGGCGGAATGGGAATCCTCAAAAGTCTTATTGCTGGAGGGAGAAGTTCCTCTTTAAGATTAGAGTCGGCAACTTCAGTTGCTTTTAAGCATGTATATGCATTGCAATCAGGAAAATCTGATGGAAAATATGGCAAGCCGATCTGCAAAAAGGAGTGTGGGATTTAGATGTGGTGTCTATAAACCTAACAATCAGAATTATATGGACTTGACATGTTCACACTTACTTCAGATGCTACCCAGTGCTTCTCTCTCAAACCAATCGCATGAGCACCCTTAGAGACAAGAGGAACCCAAAAAGCCTTGACCCAACTTAAGGGAAGTATAATAGACCAACTGAAAAGTAATATGAAAGAACAAAAAAATAAAGAATAAAAAATAAAAAAATAAGGCACCAAACACTAAAAAATGTTCTAGACGAGTTAGACATTGGTGGAATTTCAAAGAATACACCCTGCTCATGCAAACGCAATACATCAGACTTCAGAGAAATCTTAATGATGAAAAGTAAATGGAAAAGTAGGAGATGCGAAAGAGATTACCCAATAGTCAAGCCCTTCTTGTTCTCATCCTTCAAAAGCAAAATAGGGCAGCATCTTGAGCAGTGGACCTTAGTTGGATTCGGATCATTGAGGCAAAAGAAGTTCTTATGCAGCTCATTTTTTTCCTGACAAAGAACACTCTCTTCCAGAGGAGAAATTACACCAAAGCTGGCATCCCACAAACTGCTGCATGACAAAGTGTTGTCCTCACCAGGTTCTGACCACAACGAAAATGACTCTTTACTCCTGTCTGAGATTTCAACTACATCAGTATGCCCTCTAATTTCATTTTCTGTAACATCATCAACCATATCACCAGATGTTGACTCTTGAACATTAGCGGTTCTTATCTTTGTCGTTGCACGGGGATCCATGACACTAAGAGATAAGACTGCTTTTGAAGCTATGAGATCCTCATTGTCAAGTACAGAAAATTTCTTGAGTTGAGAATCATCATCAGCTTCAGCAACTGAACGTTTCCCCCTTTGCAAAGAATCCTCCAAAATCCTGTAAACCCCAACATCATTTTGCCATCCCTAACTCCTGATCTTGGTCTAAACTGAAAAGAGCATCTTAGTAACTCACCAAGTAATAGATAACGTCTTTTGAAGAAGTTTAAATGCATTTGATCCCATTACTTCCAACTTTGCAAGTTGTCCCTCAAGTGAAAAACAATTAACTGAGACACCCCTCTCGACCATCTGAAAAATGCATGCGATTGCCAAACAAACTATTTCAGAAGTCAGAAGATGCAATAAAATACTGGTTACTCTTAACATTCCAGATGAACTAGAAATCACTTGCCAATGAAGCAAGTAAAAAAAGTCTCCATATGACCTAAAAAGTTATTTGCCAACCAATGAAGAGCACAACAAGAAATCACTGATAAGAGAACTCCAACGACTTCTGAAATCACCTAAAACTCTGCTTTTTAACTTATGTAGTTTAATTGATGGTGGTCTCATAAGATCCATAGGCTTGCATGATATGCTTACCTCATTCTGGCAAGCAAACTTCAGAGCACCATATCCTTCATTAAAAGCTGAAGCGTGTATCCACACCCAAAGTTGGCGAAAACAAGAACGAGACTCTGTACTCTCTGCTTTCTTAAATCCTTGATCATCAATGCCAACAACATCTTTGTGCTCGTCCAGCAAGCAGCAAGGTCGCCACATGTACGTCACAGGAGCGATAGGTTTTGAAACTGGTGCACCAATATGATGAAGCTGAAACATACAAAATGTAGCAAATAACTGACTTTCAGACATTAGTTATCAGAAAAAAAAAAATGTATTAGAATGTGATTAACCCACCATGGCATTCTCATAGACAGCACCGGATATGACAGAATTAGAAATGCCACTGGAACGTGCGGATGGGGAAGGCTCAAGCACCATCCTTAGAATTGACAATAACGAGTCCTGAATATTGTAAGCACATGAAAAAAATTTCAAAAATTTTCAAACAATCTTAAATTTCATCACTTTCTAGTAAGCACATAAAGCCTGTAAACCACTACTTTTTTATTTTAATTTTTTCTAGCAAAAAGAAAAAAGAAAAATTCAAAGTTAAAAGAAAAAAAAATTATGCTTACCTCTGGACCCTCTAATTGGAGAGCAACATGGTAGCTTGCATCATGGACGATAACTCCATCTCTGAACCACTTCAACAGAGCTCTAGAACCCCTTCCTCTGCATTATCATTTACAAATATACCTTCTTTTTTTTTTTATTAGGAGACAAAAATACTAACATTAGTCACCAAAAATAAACAAGAAAATTCAAATTCACCTGCCGTGAAGACCAAGAGGAAGGTAATAACCCCAGAGCTTGGTCATGGTGAATCTCTTCGCATGCCAAACGTGGGTTCTGAGCCTCTTCGTCCCGTCTCCCGCAGTAGAAAAGCCCCTCTCCGGATTCATCCTAAGTTGAGCTCTCCTTCGAATACGACGAGGAACTCTAATGTCGTCGCCGTCATCGTTCTTCTTCTTCGAAATGTCGTTTCGCTGCCTTTTGCGTCGTCTCCGAGCGGCTTTGCTGTCGAATGCGGTGGTCCGGCGCCTCTTGCCTCGATTGGACCGGAAATCGCCGTGCAAGCGATCGGCGACGATGGAGTGGAGAGACTCGAGCTCGGCGGCTCGCGATTCTGAGAATTTCTGGACGTTGATCTTTGGCGGCGGAAGAGCTGCTGATGATGATAATGGTGGTTGGAGCCTTTTGGTTGAAGCCATTTTTAGTCTCGTGATGAAGATTTTTGTTTTTCGTTTGTAGATTACTAGGTTTTATGTTTACAGGTTTTCTTTGTTTTTTTTTTGGTGGGAAGTGCGAGCTCGAATGAACTCGAAAGTCATATTATATCGAAATAATATTAACACTCCTTAACCAAATATAATTACGTTAATGCCCCTAAAAAATCAAGTCATAAGTAAGCAAAAGACTTCAGGATTTTAATTAAACTTGAAATAGCAAAAATTAACGAGCAAAATATAGTTGTATGTACATCTTATTAACATTTATTAGAAAAATAAAATAGATTACACGTACAAAATTATGACTCTTAGCAAGACTACAAAATATGCTTCCATTTTACACTCGGTAACTCTCAGCTTTTGCCAGAGTTTAAGATGAAACTAACCGCAGATGTTTCTTTTCTTCTTGTATGGACTGGAATATTCGAGCTGCTGATTCCGTTGCTGTTCTTGGATTGTGAGGAACAACCTTAATAACACGAGTCTGGTTTTTGCTGATTTGTACATTCTCATCAGGTTCCTCTGCTGTTGGCGCCACAGGGAAAAGGGGAAGTTCATCTCCTCGACGCCTCTCTGGAGGAGTATTCGTACTTGCCGTACTTCTGTAAAACTCACTCCGTTTCGAAGCCTGAACTGCACCATGGGACGACTTCACACGACTCGTCTGGCTTGATATGTTACAGGAACTCTGACGTGGTTTTGGGAAGTTCATTTCCTCAAATGACGACTGATGTTCCTGATCGTTTGCACGTCCTATGCCAAACGGACTCATCTGCTCCACAGCTGAGTTTGGTACAAAAGAACTCATGACTGGCAAGCCATAAGGTGGAGCGAAGTATGCCTGACCGAATGGAGGTGGTGTGCCTGGAAGGACTCCGATTCCTTGCTGATTACAAGCTGGACCGAGGTAAGTTCTTTCGGGATTTAGGCTCATAGGGCCACAACTGCCGTAATTTGGTACAACATAACCTGCAGATGGGGGGCATGGCCCAGTGTAGGCCTTGTAAACAAGCCCTTCCGAAGGCGACATGACAGGAACTAGCCACTGATTTCCTGGTGGAGGAGAGTGGAAGGGCAAGGCAACTGATTTGTTAATGCTAGTAGGAGCTGATGGCGAGTTTCTCAAGTGCTCCGCATAATTTGATTGATTGGGAATGAGACCTTTGCTGGTGTTGTTGTTGACAGAATGAAGAGGAAGCTGCATGACTAGATTCTCTTGATTACGTTCAGTGCTGGGATTTGGCGTCTCTGACTTACTCTTGAGCTTGACGACTGATGCATGTGGCTCATGCAATAGATCAGGGGATGCAGCAAACGACCTCTGAACCTGTTCCGAGTAGTGTATTCTAAATCTCTTTCCAAAATTTCAAATTCAGGATAATTAAGAAGATATATGAACATGTCTGTGTTTTGGTATACGTGCATCTGTGCAGGCATGTCTTTGTGTAAGGAACATAACAAACTGCAGTAACTAGCTTACCGTCATCAGTCTATGCAACTCAAACACTTGCACTGCAAAGATCCTCTGTTGACTGAAAATAGTAGCATATAAATATATCAAAAAGCTTTTCAAATATATATATACGTATATATCAAAAAAGAATGTTATCAAGCAAGAAAGGTGCACAAATATATCACAACTAATCTGGATAGATCACAAAAAACTCTAAGAAACACTACTGAGGACAAATTACAAAAAAATTGACTCCTATTATCTTGCCACAAGCAAACAGTATTAGTAATGAGCAAAGAAGGACTGCTGGAGAAAAATAATTCAAAATGGTTACATGAAGGATGCACAAATTCTCTTCTTACTACAAGTCTGATCAACTATAGCTTAGTACACCAGTTCCAAACTCTCCTAAAACATGATTATTTGTGAACCGGTTGAGATAATTTGCAGTTCTCCTAAACAAATATTTGGCACAAACATGCCTAATTGTGATACTATTTTGGCAACATTGAATTTTACTATACTGATCTTACTCATGGAGAAAACGTATTGTGACAAAAAAAAAAAAAAAATAACATAACTGTGGGACAAAGTGCTTTGTATTAAGAAGATTTGAATATGATAAGAAGCAGCCAATGCTCACAGCAACTACCAAATGGAATAACTTACTAGGTGATCGTTCTTCTCGCTTTCCAAAATTGCTTTTCTCCTATAACTCCTACAACAGCATCAGGGAGGACACTCAAAGCCGATATAGCACCAACCATGGAAATCTTTAGAAAACCATCATGTCTGTTCATTAGAGTCCCACAGTTCCTCTCTTCACGACACTCAACACCATTTCCAAGCCATTTGAGACTTCTTTCATCTACATGTTGTTGCGTCAAACATTCACTTTCCAGTCTCACCTTTGAAGTAGGTTCAATCAAAATGTTACCTCTATGGCTCACTTTATCACACGAGGCCACAAATTCTTCTTGGGGTTGTATGTTGCCACCGTGTAATTTGTTCAAAATAGCCATTGAACTATAATTTGCTTGATTCAAAGATGCATGTGATGGATTTGAACTTTTAATGTCATCGGCTGCAGTTAATGGATATGAGAAATTATCTTCGATATCTTTATCTCCACCAACTGCTACAGAAGAGAACCTTCCTATGCAATCCGGACTATTCTGAGACACTTTTGGATTCTCTTCAGAATGGTTCCTCACTAAGTTTCTTGACCTTTCGTTTTCACATGGACTTTTATGTTGCAGGGTAGAGCTGAAGCTCAAGTGAGGCAATTTTTTACTCTCCGTAATATCATCCTCATTTTCATCCATCTTGAAAGAAAAGTTCTTAGAATTTGAGAGATTTTGTGCTCGAGAAGAATCAGATTCAACAGCCAATTGTAATGGTTCAGTTGCATTTGATCTTGGAAAATTTGTTGGTCTCGCAGAACTCTTTTCGTTATCTTTCATCGTAGTGTTTAACTTAACCCCCCCAGAAGAACTAGGATGTTGAAGTTTCTCGGAAATATAAGATGGTATAGAGGAATTGCAGAACGGGGGAAACATATTTCGATAGGCAGAAGCCTACACAGAGAAATCATTTGATTAAATAAGAACAGAAAGAGTAGTAAATAAGTAAAGGAATTCAAGTACATTAACAAAACTAGGGCCGCCATGGGAGATCAAGTAAAATAATGCTTACTAAACTGAAGCAAGAGAAAGACAATGAACACTTTTTTTTCCGTTCTCTTCTGAGACAAAATAACCTCTAAGAGCATAAAGAGCAAACAGAAGGCAGGCATTGCTTTAAAAAATCAATACTAACAAGAGAGTTTTGCAACTAAGTAAAAGGACACGATTACCAATAGAATTCATGAACAAAATGCAAAATTTCATGTAGTGATCTAGATGGCATTGTACTCACTTGGCCCGAGGATATCGAAGAAACCATGTCGCCACTACTATTTTGCGCATGTGGCAACGTGGATGATGATCCCGATGTAAATCTTTGAGAAGGAATACTGAGCTGCTCATAGAGAGCCATTTTGTTCCTTGGAGGTGCCCTCGGCCCTCCTTTCTCGGTGTCGCTGACATGAAGCCTAGGAAACATAGGACTCGTCACCTTTTCCGCATCTTTTCCCCCTCTCATACTTCTCTTCACCACAATTTCCACTCTCAAATGTAAATCTTATCAACAAAAATTCATAACAAGATCCACATTCCCATCACCCTTCACCACAAAAAAAAAAAAAAAAGGAACACGCCATCATAAACCAATATTAGCGCACTAAGATAACAAATATTAAGGACTTACGCAAAATCTTCACAAACTTCCCCATCAAACTACGTAGAAAAAGCAAGTTCCTATTCTTTTTGGTACAACTTCAATCATGAAGAACCAAAAAGGAAACGGGCTCATACAAAGAGCATAATCAGTAATTTTTGCAAATAAACCAGAATTTTCAGCGAGTACCCAGATCAACCTATTTCAAAGAAACATATCCTATTACCGAGAACCACAAACAAACAACAAGAACACTTGAAATTCCAGACGTGAAACGTAATCTGCAAGCCAACAGAAAAACAAAATATTAGCAACTAACAAAAAAGAGCTTTAAAGAAATATAAACCTTTTAACAGTATATACAATAAACAAGAATAAGAAGGTCAACTGAAAAATCAGAAACGCATGACAAGAATACGAGCAAAAAAAAAAAAAAAAAAAGACAGAGAGAGAGAGAGAGAAGAGAAAAAAAAATAAAAATAAAAAAGAGAGAGAGACATGAGAAAGCTATATAAGTTGGATAAGAGAGATTCAGGAGAAACAACAATATACTTACCTTGGAATCCCACAACAGAAGATCTAAGCAACCAGAAAAGGTGAAATTAAGAAATAACAATTGCTCTAAACTGGGCATTGAGGGACCCAACCAAACTGGATAGAACATTGAGAAGATAGAACCACAGTTGCTTTCCCACAAAATGTCATGTCATTTTCATTTTTTTTTTTTTTAAAGAAACAAAATATCATATCATTTCAAGGCTTGCCATGTCATCAAGCCCAACAAAAATGGTGACGCGTCAAGACCTGATTGGACGCCAAGCTCCTGAGGAACTGACCTGAAATTTTCTTTTTTGGGCAGTGACCGAGTCACTTGAAAATCTGGTCAATCTTAACGGAAAATCCGTCGAAGATCCGTTGCTCCTAGTTCTTCAACCGACTGTTTTTCCGTAAATCTTTACTAATGAAATGTCAATTGTCAGAAGTAACTTGACGTCCAAACTTAAAAGAGTATTGGTCGTTTTTTTTTTCTTTTTCTATAATTGGTCTTTTGCATTGTAAAGTTAAAGATATTAAGGTCTATAATGTCCAAGCTTCGAACTTTATACAAACAATTATGTGCTGACATATGCACTAGCAAAAATCACTTTTCTATATTATATGTTTCTTTTTGCCAAAAGAAGTGTACATTTGTTTGGCATCAAGTGCGAATCGATGGTTTACCTTCTGATTGGTGATATCCGGGAAATAGTGTTGTTGGTGGGCCATTTCCACCAACTTTAGGTCCGTGTAATTGCGCTAAATGGGCCCACTCACGTGCTAGTTGTGCACGAATTGAGAGCGAGTTGCATATATCTTTTTTTTTTTTTTTTTTTTTTTTTTTTTTCTTTTACTCTTAATTTATAATGTTTTAGTTAAATAATTACATTAATAAAATAGTATTTATAAAAAATAAATAATAAAAAATTTAGATTCATGCACTCTCAGATAAATTCTTAATTTTTTCATGGAGAGTTGATACCCAATAATTTTAAAGATGTGCCCGAATAATCTTGCCCCACACAAACAAACAATCATTTTTTCATCATTTATCTTGCCCCTACAAGTTATAAAAAAATAATATATAAATTATTAGTGGCACGAGATAAGTTTATAACAATTGTAAAAATAAAATAGTCTTACCTCTTTGATAGTGTTTTTTTTTTTTTTTGAAAATTTTCCTAAGTCTCATTTACATTTCTAGGTGTTGTTTTATATTAACTAATACAAAGCCCTCACTGAAAATTCAAAAAAAATCATCTTATAGCACCTGTTAAAGATAATCGTTTCATGGAAAAGCTAAATAGGCATAAAAGCTATCAATCAAGTATATTTTAACGGTCTGATACATTTTAAAAATTTTAGTTTGGGCCCCACTAACTAAAAATTCTGGTTCCATCATGGACTAAAACAATGCTTCATTCTGAGTAAATGATAAGTGATTTTAATTATTCAATTCTTCCCATGTATCTAGAGTTGTTACTTGTATATCATATGGTGAGAACGTCCTTATTATTGTCTCACTTGGCAGCCTACATAACGAGAGATAAGTGGATGACTCTTTCCGTAGTTTAGCACCCACTATTCCAGGTTTTCGACTGCAACTACTACGCGTCATTGCTTAAAATGTTTATAAGTGCATTATGACGCTTTTTTTTTTTTTTTTTTTTACCTACAAATTTCAGTTTGTTATAGCCGAAAAAGAAAAAAAAATTAATTTAACGTTGACATTGATTGATTCTCAGAGAGAAGATTACTTGGGTCTGGATAAGGTTGGTGGGCTAGTTTTGTGCATCGGGCTCTATCAACATTGGACCTGAGATCTGGACCTTACCTGAGCCCGTGGTTTAGCAACATTTGGGAAAGGCCCATTTGAGGAAAACTAACGTTATTTATGCCACCCTACTCAAAAATAAACTATTGTTATTTATTTAATAAAGAGAAAATAAAAGATAATGATGACACTAAATTATTTATAATGACATAAATAATAGTCTTATACAAAATTATGACAAACCATGTATTTTCCTCTTTTATTTTTCATTTTTCATTGGCCTAATAGGATGCTTGAAGGAAAGGCCCTTTCTAGTTTTCATTTCTTTATATATACATATATATATATATATATATATATATATATTTTTTTTTATTTTTCATTTTTCATTGGCCTATTAGGATGCTTGAAGGAAAGGCCCTTTCTAGTTTTTTTTTTATTTATTTTTTTTATTTTATATTTGTCCTTTCTTTTAGTGAGGACCTTTTTTTTTTTCCTTGAATTCTTTTAGTGAGGACTTGCAATAACTTTAAGACAAGTAACTAGAAATTCTACGTGAAGAATACAAAATTTTCGAACTGGAATATCTACTAGTATATTTTTTGAGAAACTGGAAGTATAAATTCAACCTCTAAATATAGAGAGCTTGTAGGAGTAATCTGAACTCTGGACTCCGGATAAAAGATTAATCCAGCTAGTATTGCATTGTTCGCTGAAGAAAAATGTAGTTGCAGTAAATATATATATATATATACACACACACACACACACACACACATACATACTATATATAGTTTCGTTTCTCGCAGTAAAACCTTTTGTTTCATTTGATGGATATCATGTGAATACTGGACAGTACTTATTTAGAACATCCTTTACTTCCTTCCATGCAAATTTAATTGATGAGAGTCATCCTTAGTCTTCTTTTTGAATGTTCCTCCTGGGAAAATGGGACGTATCAAATTAAGGTAAAAAACGAGAGTAAATATTTTATCAAGAAGTTTTGTAGTTCTCTATATGTTCACATATAATTGGGTAGATGACTATCGATAGCGTGCATATTCGTGCTGAAAATCCGAATTGGGGATGAAAAGGAGAGGAACCACTAAATAAAGGTTAATTTTAAAAAATTAAATCAGCACCCACATCATCATTGCTATTAATAGCATCACGCCAACTCGCTTTTTATAGATCATGCTAAGTAAGCTTCTATATCACACGTAGAGGTTAATTCCATTATTTTTTTTTTATCGGCTAATCACAGAAGCAATCTTTTCGACAGTACTCCATGAAATATCATGTTTTAGCTAGGTATGAATCATATAGGACCCCCGGCCATAAAACAGGTGATCAGAAAGCCATATATAAGGCGTTTGACCATGAGAGCCAGTGGCGGATTTAAGTACAGCTCAGTGAGGGTTACCGCCCTTACTCAATTTTTTTTTTTAAAACATATTACCTTTAAAAATTTTAAAATTTTACACTTAAACCCCCACTGAAATAATATATGCTCCCACAAAAATAAATATATTTACTTATATGTCCCTATTAAGATAATATGTTAAAAAAAATTTAGTTTACGCCCCTGAGCTATAAAGAAATTACCATATTCAACCATATTAATTACCTCCATTTCTTTGTTACATAGTAACAACTCATTTTAACTTGCAAAATGCAATTGTCACAAGGGATAATATCCATAAAAGACTTAATTAGAAGTCACTAGGGATCAGTTTTGTAATTGTTTTTTAGTCGCTGCCGCATGCAAATTCTTGAATCATGTACTAGCTTGGGAATAAGCTAGTCATTTATTGTTATATCTAACATATGGTTGGTAATTTGTTATTATGGAAATACTTACGTATATCTATATTGTTGTCAAGTGATTCGCGGTTTACTCTTCGTGTACCGAAATTAACTTCCCGGAAGCTAGGGACGGGTTAAGAAAGAATAAAGATGTCAATTATGCAATTGCCCTAGAAAAGAAAAGAAAAAAAAAAGGATATGTATGATAATGGGTAGAGTGTCACATGCACGTGGGAGTCAAAATCATGGCACTGAGGAGCCAGCATGGGAAATCTAGGATTATGCACACACACACGCTACTTCTAGAAACGTTTTAATTGTTGAGCAATTGACGATGATATAAATATATATATATATATATATACGTATATATATGTATATGTATGTATATATGTATGTATATATGATGCCATTGGCAACCAAATTAGGGGGACAAGGGACCCCCCATTTAGGGTTTTCTTGGCCTTGTTTTTTGGTCGTTAAAGCAAAAACCCGGCCCATTGAATGTGACAAAATAATAGAGTACATGCATTGTACACGAATAACCTTTGCTTATATACCAATATATATGATAATATCATTACTCTGAAATTCTTCCTCTTCGATCATTACTTGTGGCATTGGTTCTGGTCCCTCCAATTCTATTACTAAGTTTTGGGGCTGCCTATTTAAATGCCGAGTCTGTTTCATGGTTCACTGTAGTTTCTTTTCCTGCTCTCTCTCTTTTCTTGAAGGAGATTGATAGATGAAACGTTTAATTCATCTAGCCACTAAAATTCTTTAATAGAGTAAATCTGTTTTAATTTCTTCAGTTTTTAACTATTTTAGTAAATATTTCAATAAAATATATCCTTCTATTTCATATTTTCGTTTCTTTTTTTTTTGCTCATTCGTGTGCGCGGTTGTGACATTAATGATTTCATAATTAGCACCCAATTATTTAACGTTGTTTCGTTTGTTTTCCTTCTCTCCATTTGATAATTGACTTTAAACAGAAGGAAGACATAATGTACAGTCTCCTTTTAGGAAAACCAAAAAGAAAAAAAAAGAGGAAGACTGTCAGATACACGGAAAGTACGTCGACTGAGCAAATCTTTCTAGTTTTCATAAGAAGTACCATTAATTATGTAATCATAATTGTAACAAAGAAATATTTTGAATTACTTATGAATACTTGAAGTGTGTCGAGATGAATGGTGAAAGAGGGTGGCAAGTGGCAAATAGTCAGAATAAAGGCCCGTTTAGTTCAATGATTTAAATTTTTAATTTGAGTTGAGAAATGATTTTATGTGAGAATTTTATGCTGTAGTAAAAAAATTAGATGTGATTATTTTTAAAAGTTTTTCTACTGTAGTAAAACTCGAATCGGTGAAATGAACGGAGCCTAAATTATCCATCTAGAAATAAAATAATCAAAATTATTAATCGGTTGCAATGAAATTGAGAAATTCAGTAACATTTTCAAACTTTCAAAACTATATATATATATATAAATATATTGAAATGTATAAAACAAGTGGAGAGGTTAAAAAAAAGGATAAAAATCTGGTGCAACACATCCCCATCAAAGGCGATATAGACCCTGATTGAAATTCTGGAGGATAATGCTAATTTAAGAGGAGATTCGGAGTCGAACGGAACAGGTGGTCCCAGTTTTACAGAGTTCCAGCTCCACTATTTCGATTTCCCATGTGGGCGATGCCTATCCCATCAGGTGTCCTACCAATAACCTTTCGCCACGTCAGCAGGAGAGCGCTCTGTTCACGTGTGAGCCGTAGTAATAATGGCAATGAGGCTCCTGGTGGGGCCCTCCTCCGCTAGTTCGCTGGACCACCGTAGTCCCATTGAGTCCGAGTCGTGCCGGGTTCAGAGCTTTTGCGTTATCTGAGCCGACAGCTCACATCTCGCTAAGTAGACACAGAACAAGAAAGCCAAAAATAACGCGGGCGAGAGCAGAGAGGGCATTTATTGAGAGTTTGACATTCTAGAGAGAGACACAAAGAGGGGAGAGAGAGAGAGAGATAAATGGACCACTATTTTACCACTCAGGCCCAAAAACGTTGGGGGTCCACCGGGTTACGGAGGGAGGCTATATTGGTTAACCGTTGGAGGATATGGATGTATTGTAAAAGTGACTGATAAGGCCAGGTTTGGATGCATTTGTTCTTGTTCCGAAATTTAAATGTTATATCATTGACAAATTTTGACACATTGGTTAATAATTTCATAGGGAAAAAAAACAAGAAAGAATATTTTGCAGGTCCTAATTAGCATGATCCATGTGGAAAAAAAGGAGTTGTTGGAGAAAATGGTTTTTATAGGATTTCTTGTTTTTTTTCTTCCCTTGTCATGAATTATGTAAATTTGATTGAATCACGATAATGTGTGTGTATATATATATATATATATTTATATGTATAGGCCGAATTATTAGAGTTTTAATTTAATTTGTCTACAAATAAGTGTTTCTTTATGAGAGTTTTGATGTCGGCTAGCTATATTAAATTTGAGGATTCTGATTGGTATCAATGATTTGTAGAACAATAATAATACTCATCCTATCTCTTGCAACAACACGTATGAAAGTCAAAGTTTGGATGCTCCGTTTTTTGAGAAAAATTTTCCAAAACAAATCGCGTAATGCAGACATAAAATGTGTTTTTTTAAAAAAAAAAAAAAAAATTAGACTTATATAATGTTATCTTTCTCATAGGCTGAGCATAATAATCTTCAAATTAAGATTGGTTTGTTAAACATAGGAAGATCTAGTAGTTAATTATTCTATCATCTGTTATATCCATATAATAATCATTAATCTAAAGGTGATTAGAGAATACAATTATCTGAGCATTCTCTCTGTAATCTATTATGCATATACCTACATACGCGGATGTTATACACACAAAATAATAGACATTGTGAATTGTAATAAACACTTAGATCACTCAAGACAAAAGTATCTCAATCTCGCAGTTAATAATTGTCTAGAATTATTGGAGATTAGACTGCATCATCACCAACTTTTCTGATAACTACAGCAGTCCCAACTAGTGTCTATATATTTATGTGTGTGTGTATGTATGTATATATAGATAGATAGATAGATAGATACAGAGAGACCAATGCTCAAAAAACAGTGTGCGTGTGCCAATGCCAGCTATAGCCTATATGTACTCAAACTTCGGGTATAGAAGGGATTTTTTTTTTTTTTTTTTTTTTTTTTTTTTTTTTTTTTTTAACGTGTTTCTCCAAGTCATATGAATTATGGTTCAATATAAATATTAGGTAAGTTTACATATATACACATATAAATGTATGCACGTATGTGTGTGTGTATATATATATATATATATATATATATGTTCAGTTATGTTGTTTTAGTCACTTATTTATTATTTTTATTTGGGCAAATTACCTTGTGCTAACTTTCTTGAGTGGGGTTGAATGATATCCTTGAAGAAAAATGATGTTTATATATATATATGTGGCTTGTTTGATGATCTGCAGAGAGAAGCTGGGTGAAGAAAAACATGGGAGTTGACAAATATATGAGGATTTTAAGCAAATTGCAATGGGAACCCATTCACTGAGCTGTAATGATGGGGTGCATGTGGGTAGGACTCAGAACCCAGCTGATATCCATCTCTTTCTCTCCAGCTTTCTCTCTCTAGCAACTACATTATATAAATTCAATTGTTACACCAAAAACAAAATTTAAAATTAATACAAAGAAAAATAGATTTAAGGAAAAAAAAAAAAGGATATGTGATGAGACAAAATTCTATTAGCAACTTGCTTTTGCTTCTGCTATATCCTCTTCCCTGACTGTCTTTCTTGCCTGCCAACAACTTTCATGTTCTAAGCTCCCACTACTAGTTTTATGCTCAAAATGGCAATATTCCAAAGGATTATCATTTATCAAGCAGGTCATTATAATTTTTATATATATCTCGCTTTTTAGTACTGTTGGAAATTGTACTTTGACCGTTTACCATATATTATGCTGCTACTTTTTAATTTTCTGCTGACACATATACATCTACACATCCTTATGATGAACCTTTGTTGAAATTTCATTTCAAAGATGCCCAAACATGAGGTAAAATGATGTTAATTAATAAATCAAGCTAGAAGTAGATCCTTTTTTCTTCTTTTTAAAAAGAAGAGAAAAAAGTTGTGTTAATTTTTATAGATGTGTCATATTGTTCTTTACACGTCTGAGGCTACTATCTTAGAACTACTTAAGTTTTACAAGGTGGTGGAGGGTCAAATACCATCCTCAAAAGAGTACTGTAGTAGAAAGGGAAAACAGTAATTGTCATGATTATAACTATGATTAATAGAAATCTTTTTAAAAAGCTAGCGTGGTACTGTAAAAAGATGCTCTTACTCCAAGTAGAACTCTTTTGTTTTTTTTTGTTTTTTTTAACTGAAAATTTACACTTTTACAGTGCGCGCATGGAAGGGCATAAACAACCAAAAAAAGGAGGGTCAGAGCTTTTCCCCACTAAAAGAATACAAAAAACCAAACAAATATTAAACAATTAAATTAGTTAAGATACAGAGTGCTGGTCTGAAATCTCAATGCTCCCCATCTGCAAAAATATACTCTTACACCCCCACCAAACTGACCAAAAAGCCTTATCTTTTCCAAACCCATTATACTTCTTTCAACTGTTGAAAATATATTTTATTAGGTTTCATATATATTTCTCTAATATATTATATACATTGGTCACAAGTACTATCAACAATATTTGTTGTATTACATAATATAATATTGCACCTTTAGTTTTTGCCTATCTATATATATAAGCATGCCTATCAGCGAACAGAATGCTATACACCAGTATCAATCCTCCATTGCAGCTCACAAAGGTAGAGATTATGAGGCCTGTTGAAATCCGTTTTCTTTTTTTAATTTGTACTTTCCAATCCTAGTTATAGTACTAAGCAAAAGAAACCCAATAAGTCTGTGTTTATGATCTTATCTATTTTGTTTCTACTGATTTGATTTGTTGGAAGTCATGATATGCTTTTTTTGCTGATGAAATTTCAGTTTATGAATTCTTGGAGCGGTTGCTTTGATCAGTTTCTAAGTGTTTAATTGTCCCCTTTTACAAGGCGGAAAGCCACTTTCATTAGTCGCCAAAACTGACGTAATTAGCGATGGCTGTTTTGTTTCTTTTGTCACGGTTTTGATTACATCGAATCATTAAAGATGGCGGCTAGTGGCAAGTACCATAATGTGCACAAAAGTCTTGTGATATAAAAGGCTGAAATCTGAGGTGATATTCTTCGTCTGAACATAGCATCAAAGATAGTACAGCTAAATTATTTGAGTGGCAGCTGGATCTGCACTGGAATTGGTATGTCCCTACAATAATTTTCTCTCCATCAATTTTTCTGATATAATATATTTTCTCCTAAAATCCTTTCCATATGATATTTGACATGGCACACCAAACTTCTATAGAATATGATGCAATATTAGCTAGTGATATATATATCACGTACATATTGTTTATTAGCTTATATTTTGCCTCATTGTTATGGATACTTCACAGGCTTCAGGCAAGAGTTTTTGTCCTATCATATTCACTTTGCTTTTGCTGAGAAACCACCGAGTTTTCTTTGATACACATATCAATGGAGGGTGATTTGTATTCAACAGCACAAGCTGTGACGAACACGTCTTCTCCCTTATGGGGAAACCAAAATCAGCGCGATATCGACGAAAGCTTCTTCATGTCCAGCTCAAGATCAGAGCTCCAGAAAGCAGCTCATAATCATTCAATACCATCAAATGCGGTTTCAGTAGATGTTATATCAAATTTGAGCTTCTCATCACAACGCCAGGAGTCTACGATCAGTTTGGCAGCCAAATCCGGATCAGCAGCAACAACAACTTGGCCGGGACACGAGGCTTTGACATCTGAATTGATCTCATCATGTCCTCCTAATTCTTGTTTGGTTAGCAGGCCTAATTACGTGATGATGAGCCCTTTTAGTGGCTTGATGACTGATTATGGCAATAATAATATTGTACAGTCATCGCAAGTTGTGAACGGCAAAGCTCCGGTGCAAACGACATGCTCTCTAGAGTCCCTGGATTGCTTACTCTCCGCCACTAACAGCAACACAGACACTACTTCCGTCGAAGACGATGATGGGATTTCGATGATTTTCTCCGATTGTCGGAACTTATGGAACACCAACATCGTAGCAGCGGCCAGCGGTGCAGTCTCGTCCGGTGAGTCGGAGAACAACGTCGTCGTGTCGAGAAACAACAAAGAAGCTTATAATCGTGCAGCGAGTAACATTAATAATGAGGTTGACGAAAGTATTGCTACAGTCTTTTATACTTCCAAGTGCTCGACAAAGAGAAGCAGCAGCTACTTCAATCTTCTTCACACCGATACTATCAACAATTCCAGTCCTTCCAGCGAAGGCGGGTTTAAGCTAATCACAGAGAATATTCCGAAACCGAAGAAGGCGAGATCAGAGAAGCAGCGTCAAGTGTTGAGCTCATCAAACATAAATTTCCAACAGCCGAGCAACAATTCATCAATGTCTTCTTCGGTCGAGCACGAGCCCGATCCCGAGGCTATTGCGCAGATGAAGGAGATGATGTACCGGGCGGCGGCTTTTCGGCCGGTGAACTTAGGATTGGAGATAGTCGAGAAGCCGAAGAGGAAGAACGTTAAGATCTCAAACGACCCGCAAACGGTGGCGGCGAGGGAGAGAAGGGAAAGGATCAGCGAGAGGATTAGGGTTTTGCAGAGGCTGGTTCCTGGCGGGAGCAAGATGGACACTGCTTCAATGCTTGATGAGGCTGCGAATTATCTCAAGTTTTTGAGGTCACAGGTGAAAGCGCTCGAGACTTTAGGCCAGAAAATTGACTCCATGAATTGCCCACCAACAAATATTGCTTTCTCTTTCAACCCTTCTTTTCCCATGCAAACTACTACTACTACTACTACTACAAACCATGTCCCATCAGCAGTAGTAGTACCACCACTCCAAAACCCTACTCATGCCCACCACTACCAGAGTTGAAAAAGAAAAGAAAAGGGAAAAAAACTAATGCAAATTGCAAAAGCTTCGCTTATAATTATGATAGCCCTAACCATGCATGTAACTAGCCCTTTAATCATTATCATCATGATCATTTCATTACCAATGATTAACATTATCTCCCTCCTAAAAACCCCCCATTTAATTTTTCCGGCCCAAGATCCAAATCTGTGGGTTGGTCATTATTACTTCTTCTGTGTGATATTCCAGAGTTAAATTAAGGCTTTCGGGTACTCCACACACAATCATCACAGTCATGATCAATATGATCGATCCAGAAGGGCCAGCAGAAAGAAAGAGTTGTTAATTTGGAACAATTCCATTTCCGTTCCATTTCCACTACTACATTTGATTCTTCCACTTTTGTTAATATTCTCGACTTGTTTAAGTGAAGGAATTATGTGGTGAAAGTAGGATATGGAACGGTGGAAATAGCGTGTAAAGCTATCCGTGAGGATATGTCTACTTTTTCATACCAAAAAAAAAAAAAAAAGCTTTGTAATTATACCACCTATGATTATGATCAAGGGGCTAGAAAGTGGATTTACTACTTTAGACTTGTTTTTATGATTGTTAAATGGCATCTATGTACTTAAAGCTCACCTTTCTCGGAGATCTTTATGAGTGTTTTCTAATTTTTATAATGTCATTGTTGGCTAACCAATGCAAGAGACATTCTCTTAAACGTGTGAGTCCCAGTCAGTGGTCCTGTCTCCTTGTTTCAACCCAAAGCGTGCTCTTGAAAATCACTCCCAAACTCATTGCTTAGCACATGTTTATGCGCCTTTTATTTTCTTTTCCTTTGTTTTTTTATTAGTGAGGTGGGTTTTGTCAGTTATATTAGATGATATAGATAACAGTAGTACCCTTCTCCCCATAAAAATAAAACTGCGAAAGTACTCCCATGATTATCAAACTAATGATATTCTTCATCATGACTCTGCGAATCATATATATTTATTTGGTGAACAATGAACATATATAATGTGGGTTTACTAGGATTTTTTTAATGCTAGTTTTATCGGCATCATGTTCTTTGGGCTACTAAAGGTTCCAAAGTCATTTCTTAAGACGTTTATGCCCTTATGATGTACTAAGCACGTGGAATTTGAAAATCTTTCTGTTAATTTGAAATTATCCACATATATGCTAATTAATAACATCATACAGTTTTAATTATGATATACAGCAAGAACAATATCTAACATGGACCCAAAAAGAAAGTGATGACGATTGGTGATGATTTATGCTATGAATTTGAAATTTTGGAAAAAGTTGTTTGAAATTTGGATGAGAGAGAGAGGGGGAGGTTATTTTGGTTGGAAAGAATTTTGCTAAATTTAGGCATTCTGTTGAGAAAAGGAACCCGGATCTATGGCTTGGCTATAGCCTTTTTGGTTTTCTTTTTCATTCAAGTTGACAAAAAAAAATGTTCTAGAGAGAGCCATACCAATATAACCAATTTGCGTGACCTGTAGATAAGCTTTTAAACTCGTATTTTGTTGGCTTTCACAAGTGGGAGATATTTGACTTTGTGATACGGTTGTGATGTAGCTGTTGCTTGCTAAAGACAGCTTCGTTGTTATTTCTATATCATTAAATTACAAAGTGACAACTTACAAAAGCAGAGTGTAATAATGTGAATAGTCGAGTAGCCAAAATCTATAGAGCCCATTGCTGCCGGACTCACACCGATTGCCACATGAATCAATGATTCATATTTTACACTCGAGCTACTCACCAATTCAGTTGTAATTTCTCAATAGTATTTAAGGTATTTTACAAATTTACCTTCTGAACTTGTATGATTTTACCAACTTACCATCTAAACTTTTAAGGTCCGTTTAGTTTGCTAATTCAAGTTTTTAATTCGAGTTGAGATATAACTTTATGTGAGAGCCTTCAACTGTAGTAAAAAAGTTAGACGTGTCTGTTTCTGAGAGCTTTTTACTATAGCAAAACTCAAATTCTAAACTCGAATCGGTGAAATGAACGAGGCCTTAATTTTAACATGTACTCCCTCAACTTGTAAAATTGTTGTAATATGCTCCATTTTGACAATAATTGTGTTAAATTAGTGTCGCAAAAACACATTGCAACAATTTACAAGTATAATGGTTGATTGTCAAAATTAAAAGTTTAGAGAACAATTTGTTAAACCATGACAAGTTCGCGCGGCAGAGCTTGCCGGAATCATCCTCCCTCAGGTTGTATGTTGTTCGAAAATTTTCATTTTTTTTTTTGTATAAATTTTCTTTCAGGTTGTAAACTAGGTGAAAGGTTTTTATTTTTATTTTTTTCCCTTCTTTATTTTTTTTTTTTCCTTTTCCTTCAAATTTTTTCCCCATAAAATCCAACTTCCAAACAGGACCTGAGAGCGTCAATATTGATTCACCAAAACTTAAACACTTCCATATCGATACATATATGGTCTTGAGTGTAGCATCAGTTTAAGTTCCTGCTATGATTTGAAAGAACTCCGTTTAAATGGTTGCAGCATCACCGATGAATTGTTGCATTTGTATCTCTCTAAATTTTCCCACATTGAAGTTCTCGAAATTTCTAATTGCTGCGTGTGTTGCGAAAGTTTGAGATTTCTGCACAGCGGCTAAAGCGTCTTCGAATTTATTTTGGACGTTCCGAGATGGAGAATATTCATGTCAATGCTCTAATCTTATCATTATCTGAAAGCTCGACTTCTAATATCTCTGTCTTAATTCCAGAGAATGTTCCATATCTCATGAAAATTGGTTATGCAATGCGTATAGTTGCAGATAGTTCTTGGTTCTCTGAGTTAAGGGAATCTCTTGGACGTTTCCTCAGAAAACTCATCACCGTAAAAATTTTTCAGTGTAAGGTATGACTACTAATGCAAGTTTGTCTCTATTCTCAAATATCAACTCATGCTTATGAAATATATATATATATATATATATATATATATTATTGTTCCTGTATAATATCTTGCTTTTTTAGTTGAGAGAAAAAGAAATTCCTCCATCGATCGAAATTGACCATTTCGTGTTGAGGCCTTTTTACTAGAGCACCAGTGAATTGTGAAGCTCTTATTGATGGCATGCTTTGGAGTTGTCATCCAAAGACAATATCAATTCCAGAGGGATCCCAGTCTCGCTTCCTAGGAGGAGCTAGAAATAATATATCAGTTCTAAAAAATTCAGTCTTCCAAGAAGATTGCATAGAGGTATGTATTGTTACTTTTTTTTCCCCCATCTTGCTTGCAAATGGGAAAAATACATTCTTTGGCACGTTTCATGTGATTACCATGGACGAATTATAATTTATGCTTGAGCATTTTATTTGTCTCGGGCTTGTGGTGGAAAAAACGAACATTTTTACTTAATTCTTATTTTGTTTTGTTTTTGTTTTTGTTTTTGAAAGGAAAATTGCATTTAGTTAAAACCAAATAAACAATCATCTCGGTACAATGCTAATGACCTATTAGAGGGACGGACGACGCCTGCGGCCTAAAAACAAAAGAATACCTTGGCACACTATAACAATGAGCACATATAAAGCTCGAATTGAAAAAACCTCTCTCATCGAGAAAGGCTTTCGAGCACTGAATGATATCCCTGAGCATTGTATTTAATGAATGGTTTAAGGAAACCATAAAATAGGGAATTAATCTATTTTTTATTTGATTTTTAGTCTAAATTAAGTTTTGTAGTCTTAAATAATATTTAATATACTTTTGTATATGATTTTTGCATGAAAAGTTTCATGATATCAACGGATATGTTATATTTGTAAAAACCTATTATTTATGCCATTTTAAATAATTAGTTGCTATTGCATCTTTCTGTTTTCTTCTTATTAATTGAATGACAATTGTTTATTTTTATGTAAAGTAACATAAATAATATTTTTATTATCTTTAGTGGTATTTCTGATTTTTTCCATGTTATAATACTAGTAATGTCCCAGTTTTGCTAATATCTAGCTGTTCGGCTATTTTCCTTGGGCTGTATATCTCTTTAAGAATATGTGATCTATCTGAATTAAAGAGTTTGACAGATGCCTATAGATACTATGTGATGATCCTTTCAACAAAGTTCATCCTAGGGTTAAATAAAAAATAAAAAATAAAAAAATAAAAAAGGTTAACGGAGACTAATGGACCTATTCTTTGTTTAAGATTAGGATATTACGTTGGATGCAGTACATCACCTACAGTATAGACGTTACAATTTTAGTTCCAAGCTTAGTTTTTTGATAGAGTGTTGTTTGAAAAATAAAGGAGAAAAGCCATTGACCAAATTTAGTACATGCAAATTATATAGGCACACCATCTAGTTAATGTTGTTATAATATTTGCTCTAATTATTTTTGCTGATCATGAAAAAAAGCAAAAACTTAAGAAATTTCCATTCAGCTGCAATGTAGACTTTATATTTTTTCCAAGCCATAAAAGAACTACATTTAATTTTTCTAGTCGCATGCGAAAAGATAATTTTGGTAATTGTCGTTTTATCCATATGATGTCGTTTAAGCATGGTGTTGCTCCTTAAGGTACTGTCGTTTTCAAGATAATGTCGTTTATTAGTAAATCGTTGTTTTCTGAACAAAGATTGCCGTTTTCTGCCATATCATTCATTAATATGTCGAGGATTTTTCAGATTGTGTGGTTTTTAGGTCGATCTTAATTTCTTATATATTGATGCTTTTATTTACATTGTCGTTATAAAGCATGGTTCTACGTGTCAGTTGCATGTTGTTTTCCATTTTCTCGTTGTTTTTATAGAAGGATATCATATGTTTATGTTGTCATTTCTATAATTTTATTGTGGTGAGCAGTGACCATCGTAATTATGGAAGGATATATATATATATATATAGTTTTCAAAATATATCATCCTATAAGACTGGACGATGTCGTCTTTGAATGATACCCTTTTCAGTGCATTGTCGTTTCCAAATATTACGTCGTTTCCACAGGGCATTGTCGTATCTGACTATGTAATGCCGTTTTAATTTGTCAAGAATTTTTCAGATGGTGTGGTTTTCAGGTCGTTCGTAAATATTGCGTGCCAGTTGCATGCTGTTTGATAAAATGATACCGTTTGTCAATTGTATAATGCAATATATACATTATTATTACCCCATTTCTTTTCCATAATCACAATCAACTTTATTTTATTACGTAATAGTTCCTCCAAGATACAACTAGCACAAACTTTACCTGCAGTCTTGACCATAATTAAAACGTATGTTATACAAAATAAGATAAGATAGTACTATAGAAGGATCATAGGATCCAAAATAATAACAATCGATCTCATAATAGATTAAAGCACAAAAGACAACAAACATCCCGATGCAAGCAGTGGAAGAACAAACTTGTTCTTTCCAAATGAGTACCCCGGATCAGCTGAAGAAGTATTATTTGAGGGTGGAGATGAAGTTTCATTTCCGAGCAAATAGCTATCAACACTGCATAAAAAAGAATAAAAGTTTTTAGTCGTAATGTCAATAGAAGACTCGGAATGTTGTATTATATAGTTTAACAGAGCAAGCTGTTCCAATGTTTCTTTTTGGAAAACAGTTAGCGAATACAAGGGAGTGTTCAGGAAAAATTAAAAAGGTGACGACATGTTTTGAAGTTATGAGATATTGATTATGAGTTATGAAGCAAGGCAGACCTTAGTGATAGACCGTTTTTTGATCTTTCAAGAAGTGCAGGCGGAACTGAACCCGTGAGGTTGTTTCCTTTTAAGTTTCTGTGGAGTGACAGAGCAATAAGTGTCTATTAAATGTGAATAAGAAAGTCAAAATACGATTCTTTACGAACTTACAAAATCGTAAGCGATGGCAGTTCAGCAAGAAATTCGGGCACTCTCCCACTTAGGCTATTGTTTGATAGATCCCTGACATGAGTAAATTATAAATATTTCATATAACTGTTACTAATAATGAAATTAATAAGGGATGATTTTATCAGTAGGGTCTAAATTGACAGTAAAATGCTCGCAAAAGTGATAAGGATACTTACAAATATTGTAACATTGTCAGATCCGCAATGTAAGGAGATATTTTCCCTTGTAAACCACTTGAGGACAAATTCCTGATTTCACGTGAAACAGTATATTTCATTAAGAAAGAGTCGCAAAAATAGTTGTTCTATGTGGCTACTCTAAGTCTTTCATGGTTTATATGCGTAACTAAAGGGAAGGTCCCTAATTGCTTATTTTTGGTATATATATGCCTTTCTTAAGCTAACTAAGGAGTAGACTTACAAGGATATAATTCTAGGCAGATTGGTGGTGTCGAAACTACAAATAAGACCATCCCAAGAGTAAGCTTTAGGGGCACAAGGATCTCCTTGCCAGTTTCGCTTCAGTTCATACTCCAATTTGATATTCAAAATAGCTTGAACTGTGCATTAGAAAAGGAAAAAAAAAAGTTGGACATATATATCAAAAATTACAAAGTATACTGAGGGAGCAATATTTGTCAAAAATAATTACCGTCTGTTTGATTTGTTTCTTGGTCCAAGAACTCCTTTAGTATGTAAATCTCCATGGCATTTACAAGAGGTGGTAGAGTTGAATTTCTGGTTTTATTAAACCAAATCTTTATCATTCCTTCACTGTCAGTTTCGATGGCCGAGAAGCTATATATGGTGCTTTCTCTCAAGTATGGGGGAGAAAATGGTCCATACCATAATTCCCCATTAATATAGATGTTGAAGACTCTAGATTGGTTCTTTTTTAGTTTCGCAAGTTCTGCAAAGTGCATGTAGAAGAAATATTTAGAGTTTCTATTTGTGGAGCTCCAATAGATTCCCATGTAACTAGTACTTCTATTTCGTGTATATGCAGTGTTGATGACCGCGAACGGGACTCCGTAACTGTTCTTGGATATGGAAGTATCATTCTTAAGAGATGTATTTAATGGTTTCCAGATATCTGTCTGGAAGGGTGACCATAGACGGTCATAAACATCATCTTTGTACCTAGAAATAATAATAATAATGAAAAAAAGAATCACAGGTTATGAACACGAGCGAAACTTCGAAATAATATATAGTTTACATAAAAACATTGAGAGGTGGCTTACCTCACTACCCGATCGGTTGATGAAGCAAAATCATAGCGCTTATAGAGTTGTAGTGGTCCCTCTGTACTCACATAAGTTTCATTGTTCAAAGGCCTTAACTCTAAGACCGATATGAATGGAACCCCTAAACCTGTGTTTACTAGACAAACATGTATATAATCTGACGATGGGACATATATGATTTCTTTGTTTATGATGGTCCATGAATACTTAATTACTACTCTATCCCATAGATTAGCTCCAACATATAAATCGAATTCTGGGACAGTGCTTTCGTTATTGTAGTTTCCATACATGAATCTTGCTCGGATCAAGTACCTAGTATCTTTGCCTTGCGAAGGTTTGAGCGTGTAACAGTTTCTTGTTCCTTCAGGGAAGCTTCGAACATTCCACAACTGCTTTTCATCTGTTAGCAATTTGTACGCAGCTGAGACGTCTCTATTTTCACCGGTCTCTGCGAAGTTCGAGTCTGAAAGGTAAGTGAAGCCCGTTTCTTCATCCGTATAGCTAGAGTCGCCGGATGTCCCACAGTCTATGCTAATGAAGCCTGCAAAGGAGAAGAATGAAGATACAAAATGTGCCTTGATTTTTAATAAAATCATCAGTTTGGAGCACATGATTAAAGAGATGAAGGCTTTCAAACCTGCTTGATCCTGAGCCTGAACCAAAACAGACAGAAGTATAAATGCGCCTTGTAATATCGCAAAGAGAATATATTTAGACATGAGTACCATCTTCAATAAGAGAAGTTCCTAATTCTTCCTATTTATTAAAACAAAAACAGGAAAAGGAAAGTGAGGAAGAAGTAGCGAAAATTCGTAACATTTAGAAAGGCGTTTATAATATTTAGTGTTCATGATCTCAGGATTTAGTAAATATATTATATGGTTATACTCAGCAATATTTCTTCTAGGGTTTGACAAATACCATCTTACAAGCTAGGTTACAACAGATGAATTGTTCAACGTCTTGAGAATATATATAATGATAACGTCACTAATTTCTTATAGAATGATTGGGTGTTTTAATGACGTAACTGTCACGTTCGTACGCTTTGACTTTGTTTTTATATGGTCGTTAATGTCGGAGTCAACCATACTTCAATTGAACTAATCAGAAACAGCATCAACAAAACTTGTTGGTATATATTATTGTGGTGACTAAATTAAACAAGTCAAAGGAAATAGTTTGGATCAGAAGGCCACCTTCCTTTTTTTTTTTTTTTTCCTGAAGTCTTCTGGGAGGAAGTTGCTGGGATGCAGTGTAGCAATAGATGATCATCATTAATTAGTAGCATCTAGGAACGATTACGTTTTTTTTATTATTATTATTATTTTGACACGGTGTGGGACTTTTGCGTCCCGGTTTACTAACGAAATTATCAAAATTTGATTTCAGTAAGGACACAAAAAAAAAAAAAATAAAAATAAATGAGAAGAGTAATTGGGAGGAATAGAGGGGGAGAGAAAATACACCTGTAACGTGAAGAATCTAGAGAATAACAAGAGAAATTAAAAAAAAAAAAAGCCGGAATGGTAAATAAAATTAACAATAGAAATATCGAAAAAGAAAAAATAAATACGTTAAATACATGCTATTGTATACCCCTTTGCCTCCTTCCAATTTTCCTCCTATACCAAGCAAGCTCTTATAAAAGTTTCACAAAACTGATTATCAATTTTAAACTAAAATATATGTTAACCCAATAAGTACAAGTGCTTATTATATTTAATCACATGAATGGATCATATAGATGTTTTAGATACAACTTATTGGAAAGAAGAGAACAGTACACAAGAATTTAAGCACGCAACAATGTCTAGATAGAGTACAAAATGTACAGGCGAAAACAAGACAGGAAGCGGAAAATAACTTAAACATCCCAAAACCAGTCTTTCTTTTACTTTTATTAATTAACACAACAAGAGCATTAATCTTTCTTGATCATGCATGATCTCCCTTCTCCTTCTGTGTGGTCACCTAGCTCGGGGAGTTAGTGAGAGCAAATTGTCGGCGACCATTCCAACTGAATCTTTTGAGCATTCAGCCACACTATGGCCGTCCTTCCCTGTTAATTCTGTTCCCAAACATTCTGTCAGCTCAATTAACGCCCGATTCATGGTTGGTCTATTGGTGGAAGTTCTGGAGACACAAGCCATTGATATTTCGATGAGTTTCCACGCAGAATTGATATTGAAACCTCCTTCCAACCTTGGATCAAGAATATTTTTAATGTCACCCTTAGCAAGCATGGAACTAACCCATTCAATTATGTGATTATTCTGTTGTGTTTTTGCTAACACAGGTCGAGCTGTGATAATCTCCAATAAGACAACTCCAAAGCTATACACATCGCTTTTCTCATTCAACCAGCTTGATATGTAATACCTGAAAATGAAATATGCAAATCAATTTTCTTGTTGCCAATAAGTCGATCTAATTTTTCCTTTTATTTTTTTGGTTTAAAAGATTACTTACTCAGGATCAATATACCCAGGTGTGCCAGCAATGCTTGTTGTTATACCTGCAGGAGTGGCAGTAGCACCGGTTGATATATAATTGCCACCCTCAGAGGGGAAAAATTTGGACAAGCCAAAATCACCTAGTTTTCCTTGTAACCTTTCATTCAACAAGATGTTAGTAGACTTAACATCTCGGTGAACTATAGGTGGCTTACAGCCATTATGCAGGTATTCCAATCCTACATTTCAACAAACACAGATCATGTATCTAACAGAAGACAAAAACTAAAGATAAAATGTTTTTAAAAGAAAGCATGATGAAAATATTCATCCTCCATTATTTCCAACCTTGTGCAGTGTCTATTGCTATTCGAAGCCTGTCTTCCCAACTCAAGATGTTCTTACTGCTGCCTACATCCGACAAAATTGCAATCAACAACGTTAAATAAATAGACCTCCTTTCCTATCTCGTTTATAGAAAGCAGTATGTACTTGATTTCGGAATAATCCCATCTAATCATATAAAAGGGTAAAATGTCACTGCCTAGCTTATTAAATAATGCCAGTAGTGAACAAACCTGAAAGATGTGATCGTAAGTTTCCCATGGCCATGTACTCATAGACAAGAGCGATATTTGATGCCTCGTTGCAATACCCGATGAGGGGAGTCAAATTTTTGTGATGAACCCTCAGAAGTAGTTTGAGCTGTAAATTTAAGTTAGTCATGACATCTAAGTTAATTTCATTATATGCAGATATAGGTATTGCTCTCTACACTTTTGTTACATAAGTTAGGGTAATTAACATGCCTCAGCATGAAATTGTCGATGCCCTTGAACCGATGATGGGGAAAGTATTTTAACCGCTACTTGAATGCCATTTAAGTAGCCATGGTAAACCTTGCCAAATCCGCCTTCGCCTAGTACCCTCTCAAAGTTGTTGGTTATTCTTTGGATCTCGGGGTGCGTAAACTCTTGCTTTTTAGAGACAAATGATGGGAAGTATTCTTCATTGGATTCCACATTTACGGTATCAACTGTACAAACAATCACCAAAATTTGATTTCGAACAGGGGATAATGAATTCTAAGTAAGCAGAAGATTGAAAATTCTGAATGGACCTGGTAAACATCTGTATTCTGAATTCTAACCTCTTGAATCCTTAGTTTTTTGTTGTTTTTTCCGGTTAAGGGCCCAAAGTACAGCCAGCAAAGTTAAGATGAGGAAAAGTACTCCGCCCAACGATGCAACCAGCGGAACAACAAAGTTAGTTTTCTTCTTTCCGCATGACCCTGACGTACATGGAGTGCTACTCGGACTTGTGTCGATGCTGTTGAAAAGATCAATTAACTATTATTACCTGTCGTACATAGTTTCATAACTATTTCATGGCAATATGGGGCGTAACCCCTGTATTTTAGGTTTATTTAAAATTTATGCCTTTAATTTTTAATCTCATCAAATGTATACTTTCAAATTAGATTTAATATGAAATTATCTTATATTGGTCAATAATTGATTTTGACCTTTAAAATGACCAAACTATCATGATTTGTGATTGATCTAGTCAAAATAATAATATAAAACTAAGGGGAAAAGAATCTCGTAGTTACTTACAGAACTCTCAACGACGATAATTGAGCTAAAAATTCGGGGATTGTCCCAGTCAGGTTGTTGTTTGATAAGTCTCTGATATCAGTTATAAATTAAACTAAACTTGTCAAAAGTCTAGTGATGGCAATACTTAACAAAATAAACTAATTAAGGGTTAAATTTGTTATTGGGATCGAATTTTACTTTACATCTTATGTAACATTTTGGATATTATACTTACAATATATTTAACATTTTCAGGTTGGCAATGGAAGGAGCAATTCCTCCCTTTAATCCGCTTGATGACAAATTCCTGATTTCATGTCCAAATAAAACTGGTCAACAAGATTTTATAAAGGGTAATATAATTTAGTGTTTATATTTGTTTTTTTCAATAAAAAACATACAAAGAAACAATTCTATGCGGACTATTGGCATTGTAACTGCAATCAAGACCATCCCATAGGTAAGTTTCAGGGGCACAAGGATCTCCCTGCCAGTTTCTCTTTAATCCGTACACCAATTTGACATCTGAAATAGCTTTCGCTGATATTCACATGGATGATGAGAGGGGGAAAAAAAAGGTTATGAAACAAATTGACACTAGAAAGGAACAATAAGTACAATGAAATAATTTTCGAGATGTATACCATCTGTTTGACTTGTTGTTTGTTGCGAGAACTCTCTCAGCACATACATTTCGAGCGCATTTATAAGCGGCGGTAGAGTTGAATCCTCAGTGCTATTAAGCCAAATTTCTAATTTTCCATCACTGTCGGTGATGATGCCTGACTCATTGGCGCCGGTGTATATTGTGTACACACTTAAGTACGTGGGGACATATGGCCCATACCACAAATCACCATTAATGAAGATATTGAATTCTCTAGATTGGTTGGCTTGGAGCTTCTCTAGTTCCCCGAAGTGCATGTAGAGGAAGTAGGTCGCTGTGCTGTTTAACTGAGTCCAATATATATTCATGTAAGGAGTAGTTTTGTTTGTTGTATATGCAGTTTTCATGACAGTGAATGGTATCTGGAAATGATTATTGGATATAGAGCTAGAGGACGCAGTAATTACTGGTTCCCAGTCGATTGGTGACCATACACGACTATAGATATCATCTTTGTACCTATATGTAAACAGAAAAGATTTCTTCCATCAATTTTTTAACCAAAAAAAAAAAGAAAAAACCCAATCTTTAGATGTTAGATTTTTAAGAACTAAAAAGAAAAGAAAATCAAGCAGTAACAAGAACATAAATCGGGGGAAACCTCATTACTTCATCAGTTGCTGGACAAAAATCATAGTGATCGTAGAGTTCGAGTGATGTGCCGGGTTTACTTACATAAATATCGTCTTGTAGAGGCCTTAGTTCTAACAGTGATATGAATGGAATTCCATTGCCCGTGTTTACCAGACAAATAAATATGTGATCGGATGAAGGGACATAAGTAATTTCCTTGTACATTGCAGTCGTTGAATCCTTAAATTTCACGGTATCCCAAAGCTCAACTCCGATGTACAAATCGAACTTCGGTACTTGGCGTTTGTTATCGTAGTTTCCATACAAGAACCCCGCTCGAACTAGGTACCTAGTACCATTCTCTGTAGCCAAAGGTTTCAGATTATAACAGTTTCTTGAACCTTCAGGAAAGCTCCGGAGATTCCAAAGCTGCTGTTCATTCTGCTCTTTGTATGCTGGTGATATGCCCTGGTTTTCGCCAGTTTCTGCGAAGTTTGCATCTGAAAAGTAAGTGATGCCGGTTGTTTCGTCCGTGTAGCGTGAGACATCCGATATCCCGCAGTCTATGCTAATGAAACCTGAAAAGATTTAGGTGGATTAATAGCTCCTTGATTTTTCTAAGGAAAAATCAGTAGGAGTTTTACTGGTGGTTGAATAATTAGTTGGAGAATGTCAAATTAACCTGATGAATCCTGAGCCTGAACCAGAAGTGGGAAAACAAACAAAGTAACTTGCAACAATGAGACGAGAAACTTCTTGGAGAAGGCCATTTCTAAAACTCTACTCGGATCGTAGAGTAAAATAACTACGGTCAGATTAATTGATTTCTTGTTTGTTGTTATAGATATAATCTTGTTCCTTGCATTTTGCTACGCGCTATACATCTTATGATATATATGAAATATTAGACTTATTGTATTTGAAAATCACAATCAATTCTCAATAGAAATTATGTAAATAAAGCCTTTTCAAGCAGATGACAAGGGGAAAAAAAAACCGTTAATTAATTATCATCAACTCACATATAATTTAATGTAAATTAAAAATGATAATTACTTT